CTACCTTCGGCTGGGGACGCCAAGGTGGCCGGGTCCGGGAGGGGGAGGGGGCGAAAACCCCTGGGAGGTTGTGCACTCTGAACTTTTTTAAGACTGTTATGAGAGGATAAAGTGAAAATTGCAATAGATTTATCATAAATAATATTAGTAAGCCTAACAAATTATATATAAACATTGGCGGATCCAGGAATTCGAAAGAGAGGTGACCCAGGGAGGGTTTTCACAGACTGAGGAACCACCCACCTCAGCCCCACCATAGTTGTGGCTGGGGGAAAAAAAAGATTAGGGCACCTCTAGATGGCCGGAAATTACACTCTCAGACTTAAATTTCAATATAATTTTCTTGAATCCCACTGCCAAAACATTCTTTATTCAAAATAGTCATTATAATCGCGAAAAATGGGCATGAAAAACCGGAACACATCCTAAAAACAAATGTATGCACCCTCGCCTTGCAGTCACTAAGACATACTTTTAATGTCATACCCAGGGAAGTGCGCAGATCTGTTTTGAAAGGTGGGGGGAGGGGGACACTTGGTGAAACCACACCCAACACAGACCCACCATTGTTGGGGCCGAGGTGAGAAAATAGTACCTACAGATGGCCAGAATTAAAATTACACTTTTAGTAAAATTCATCATCATCACATCACCATTATACTGTATAGTCAAAATGAAGCGCCAACACATTTCTCATGATCTTTTATCAGTGATTTTCGGCAACCATAGTGATCTTATTAATAATACAGTATGTGTGATTTACCATAGGTAATATGGTTTAAAAGCATTGTCTGTGAGGAATGTACTTTACATACTTCAAAGCCCTGACTTCACAAACACCTCAGCCCCACCATGGGTGGGGCTGAGGTGAAAAAAATTGAGGAAACTTTCCTCATTTTTTTTTTAGATAAGCCACAGTTCAGATTGGCAGGTACTGATAAACCCGCTGAGTTGAGCTAGCCTGGTTCATCCACCTAGTCTGAGGCTACGTTCAGAATAGGTAGATAAACCTGGCTTACCTCACCGGGTTTATCCACCTGCCAGTCTGAACTATGTGGCTTATCTCAAGCCGGGGCTGACGTGTTCCTTTAGTAACTAGGCCTGGCATGCCACCGTGTTTGGCCTATTTCAGACTAGGTGGACAAACCCGCTCATCTCACCGGGTTTATCCACTTTCCAGTATGAACTAGGTGGCTTATCTCAAGCCGGGCTGCATGTGTTCCTATAGTAACTAGGCCTGGCGTGCCACCGTGTGTAACTTTTTTAAAGCCCCATTACATTAGACACGGTATAGACACGACAATATAACACGATACAGATGCGCGCAGTGTAGAAAAATACAAACTACGCGATAAAAGTCGTTGTCGTAATCATGTCTAGTGTAACCAATGACTTTTAACTGTTAACAGGATAGAAAGCTGGCTGGTTTAAGCCGTATAACTTAAATTGGTCGTATGTGCGGTATTGTTATGCAAATGAGCCAGATAAGCACAATCTGCACATGCTCAGAAAAACAAAACTTTCCTTGGTGTAAATGGGGTTTAAGTCGGACTTTAATCGATGCGGGGGGGGGGGGGG